CCTTCAATGGCAGGGTTAGCTATTTAGCATCTTCCTCCCTCTGGACTAGATGATTTCTGTAGGTCCCTTCCAGCTGGAATACTCCGTTCTATTCTAGTCTCGTCCAGTCTGTTGTATTCTATCGTACACTGTGTGGGGTTTTTCTGAGGGGACATACGTCCTGTAGAACTGATTGAGTGTTTTCCAGGGGCTATGGTGGGTGGGGAAAGAGGGGTCCAAAAGACTAAACTGCGTGCGTTTGGTGTGTGCGGCAGGATGTTTCTGTACAGACAGGCTGGAGGTGGGACAGTGGGGAACTTGGCTTGTGAAGCGTGGAAAAAGTGATTGTGTGACGAAACTTGAGGCAAACTCTGTACTTGCTCCCGTGTCAACTTTGCTAAAACAATCTTGGCTCGGGATTGGACCCGATGAGAAGATACAGCTCGTAGAAAGTGAAGCCAGGTGAATAAGAAACAATTCAAGGCTAGAAGAAGTTAAAAAAGCGAAGACTGCCGAGGTCTGATGATGGAAAATCATTAGCTCCCGGCTGAATAAGTAGCTATGATTCTCTTTCAGTGTAAGAGCTCTGCCAGCTTGCAAAGGAGCAGATGTGCACACAAGATGGATAGTTTCAAACAGTCAAAATACTGTTTTTGGGTTTTTTTTTTACTTTAGTGATTATCTTTTTTCATCTAAAATAAATCCAGATTGTGCACAGAGTGGAAAACAAAATAACAATATTTGGAGAGTGGGAGTGTTTATTTAACAGGTGGCTTATTTAGCAAATGGTTCACTCTTATAAAAATAATATTCCTATAGTATTCTGCAGCAGTGATTCAGAACATATGAGAGCGGGAAGGCAGTTTTGGGGGTTATTACTTGATGTGGGCTTACGTTAGGTTGGTTTAATTAAGAACATCTGTGGGAGCGCTTTGCTAAGTGCATTTGCATATATTATTGACTTAGAGCTGGGTGCTGCGTCTTGGAGAGCAGTCACCCCCTGCTCTTCGAGAAGGTGGGTGACAAGGCAAGATGTGTTTGCGGGGACGCTGTGCTGCGGCAGAGCCCGGCGCCGGCAGCAGGGGCAGCTGGCGGGCTGCAGCCCAGCAGTCTGAGGGACACACAGACTCCTCAGGTGTCAGTGGCATGGGATACCTATCTTGAAACATGGCTCTGACACTGAGATGTTATGCCCTGTACAGGATGTTATTCCTCTACAGGATGATTCCTGTAACAGGATGTTATTCCTGATATTCCCAGGAACTTATCCTGGAGAGGGGAAAAGAGGGGAAAAAGCTGCGATGACGAAGGTGAGGGCAGGAGCTGAGCTGCGTGGGCGCTCCCAGCCCTCCCCTGCAGCCAGGTAGCTTTTTCTTACTCTCATTTGCAAGGCTCCCTGTGGTCCAGGCCGAGCCATCCTTGAGGAGCTCTTTGCCCTTTGCTCACTGATGTTCAAACCGAAGCTCTGCCAAGGGACGTGGGTTTGCAGAAAAGCTGGTGTCCCCGTGCCTGGTGGCAAAGAGCCAGCGCAGGGACAGAGCAGCCCCTCGGTGCGGGGCAGGAGATGCCCCACCAGCCTCCGGAACGGGACCTCGCCATAGCCGTGCCTGGTGACAGAGGAGCTGCCATTACCACACCGACAAGGGCAAACACCTTCTGCTCTAGACCAAATATATATTCTTTATAAGTCTTCTACACTGGGTGTGATAGCTGTGCTGGAATTTGAGCTGAGAGTTATTTTAATAACAATATTTTGAATAGCAGAGGGATAATTACGCACAGATTTGGCTCACTACCTCCATGAGGCTTGGCTTTTGTTTTCAGATGGTGTCTCTCTACATTTAACAAATCCGACCGACTCCCTATGCTTGTTGTATTCTTATTAACCCTTTCAAAGGCACTGGTGCTGTGTAAGTAGCTGGCTTGGTACTGAATAGTACCCGCAACACGAACTGGTGGGGTGTATTTAGCTTTTGGCTTTCCTGCCTCAGCCTGTAGAAGGTGGAAAGGGATTTATTTCCAAAGGGTTTTTAATTTATTGGAATATTAAAGCATTTTTCACAGCTCCCAGGTTTTGCGAATAGCATGAGCACTAAATATAGGTAAAATGCCTTTAATGACAGAAGTCACAAACACAATAATTTAAAGTGATTATTTAATAGCCCTTGACAACTAATTCTTGCGATTAATTTTAAGACTCCATCCCAGTATTTATCATTATTGTTATTTGCCACTTACAGCAATAGTCTCATGATTTTTGAGTGGGAGAGGAATTAGAGACTGAGAAAGCATTGGAGCTGGGTGGGAAGGTTGGTTTGTTTTTTGCCCAAACTGGCCAAATCCCTGCTTGTCAGCACTGATGAGAGAGATCCGTGCTAAACGGGCTAGTCTTAGATGAAGAGCCTAACAGTGATCATTGCACATTTCACCATATGGTAAAATAACGACTTTTCACGAGCGTCAGCTTGATGAGGAGCAAAGTAAAAAACTGTATTGTATTTCAAGATCACAGTTCGTCAGAAAAATGCACACACTCCAAGTATCAGAGGAAGATCCTGTGCTCTCCTTACGGGTCTCAGCTGAGGACCAAGCCAAGCCAGCTGCATGCAAGACCTGCAGTAGATCCCCGTCCCTTTCCACCCTACAGCAGGAAAGTCAGGCGAAGCCTTGCTGCAGGGGAACGGGTTTCAGTCACTTGACCTTGGAGCCAGTTGAGCCTAATGCTTCATCACTGGCGTGGCTTTGCACGCCAGGCACGTGGCTCTGTACACCAAGCACCAGCAGACCCTACTCCTCCTCCTCCTCCTCCTCCTCCTCCTCGCGTTGTGAGGAGGGGACTGGGCGGTGGCGGATGGCAGCGTCTCCCAGCCCAGGGCTGGGGCTGGAGCTCAGTCCTCCTCCTCCTCCTCCTCCTCTTCCCCCTTTCTGAGCAAGTTTTCCCGGTGGCCACAGTGCTGGGGCCGAGGGGACACTGTCATTCTGCAGCAGCAGACCTGCCATGTGTTTAAACCCATTCCAGAATTATTTCGGTCAAAAATTCTCTACTCCCTTCTTCTGTTCATTAACCTTTACCGAAGTGCTAATTCTGTACTCAAATATAAGGTCAAAGCCCTTAGCTGATTTTTTTTCAGAAGAACTAAGTGTCTTATCTAAAATCTTCTGGAGAGAAATACCGTGCCAGAAGCACTCATCAGTGCCTCTTGACTGGCGCTGCCGCCGTCTCGCTTCCTGAGGAGCCGGTGTTACATCTGACGTGGGAATGACTGTGCTGGGGAGCCGAGTTCCTAAGGGTGATTAATTTTGGGAAATTAATTTTTTAAACGTACTCTTTTACATTGTGGCCTTTTGCAAAAAGGTGCTTAAGGCACTGAAACAAAGACCAAGACACTTACTGAAACTCCCATGACAAAAATGAATATACTGTAAAAACTCAGGTATCTTTTCCACGGTTTGTGTCGTCAGGAGGGGAGGCAAAGCAACGTTTCTGCTCCGCTGCAGCTGTGCAAAGCCGTGCCTGGATGGAGGGACTCTGTCCCCATACCCCATGCTCCAGGACAGCACGCATGCATCCAGCTTGGGGAGGAAAGTTTTGCTGAGTTGGAAAAACATCCCGGAGCTTTCAGGGTCATTTAGGTTGAAACCAGAGCCCTGTCAGAGAAGGTGGGAACTGAGACCTCAGCGCGCAGGGGTAGCACCTCGTCTGTGTTGTTACAGCTGCCTGTTTGTCTGGTGCTGTTTTTAAGGTCCATCGTACGGGACAGCAGCTCAGTCTGAGAGCTGCAGCCTCCTTCTCCGGCTCCCCTGCCTTCCCCTTCCCCATGGCTGGGGAGAGACGGGGACCAAGAGATGGGGCCAGCAGCGTGCCGGCCCCGCGGAGCGGGGACAGCGCATGTGTGCGCTGGTGCCTGGGGAGAGCAGCCCCTCTGCTGAGCATCTCCTGCCCCTGAGACAGCACAGCTGCTGCGGGCTGCAAGAGCAGAGGCTGGCAGCCTTGCCTTTCAATTAATAGGAGAAAAAAACACCCCGACGAGACTAGAAAATACACCAGGAGCAGAGCAGGGTGCTGCCTGATCGTTTCTCCAGGGATACCTGGAGGAGGGCGGGTGGAATTACCACTTTGCTCACCAACAGCTAAAGCACGACGCCGCATCTGCAGCGGTTTCAAAAGCTCGATGCAAATATCCCAGAACTAAACTTCCCCAGACTGTGCCAGGCACGTTGTTCAGTGCAGCTCCGAACGGGCTCTAGCTCACACGGGTGCCTCACCAGCTTCTCTTCCAGCTCACCGAGAGCAACGCAGGAGCCCTTGCCCAGCCCAGCAAAGCGGCTCGATGCCCGAGGCTCCGGGGAGCAGCTCCTGGGAAGGTGTCCCACCCCATCACTCCATTTGTCTTTCTGCTACTAATATACACATAGGTGGGAAAGATACGTGCGCCTAGCTCGCTGAAAGTCATTTAGAAATACTTTGTAGGGACTTATGCTCCTCAATTTTTGGCAAATAAACATTAAGTCCTCTTTATACAGAAGAGAGTGGCCAACAATGATCCATTACTCCCCAAACTGCCAGGCTCTCTGATTTTAAAAGCCTGGGGTGAGTGAATTTGCAGTAGCTTACTCCAACGTCAGCTTTTCCCACCCCCCCATCATAACAAATGTAGAAAGGTCAAGGTTAATGAAGAAAACAGTGAATTCAAAGTTCCATGGAAGAAGAAAACAGTGAATTCAAAGTTCCATGGAAGAACAACCCAGTGCTTTTAGCAATTCACTTAAATGAGAGAGGAAAGCCAGTTCCTTTAACATTTTAAAGCTGTTGTAGCCTAATGAACCGTGCTACCTCCCGCAGCTTCCACAGAGCCCAGATCCCTGCCCGAAACTCTC